ATCTCCGTATAAGGAGATATAGCTTGGCATAGTACAGCTATTTGCTCTCTTGCACCCAATTTATAATGGTTACTTGCACAGTCATGCATCTCTAATGCTTTCAAAACCATTGATTACCAAATCATTTTGAAAAGGTTGTGTACTACTAATCTTGTTATGAATGTCTTTGCATGGGGTGAAACCCCATTACTAACAGAACCGCACAGAGTGTGTAAGATCTGACAGAGATGTTGCAAAGAGAGTTCTGTATGGGGTCCTGGTCCTTTCTCCATTTCCCTTAGCAATACTGCTGAGGCAACAGGCGACTCTCACATCCACCTCTACACTGACATCACACTTAAGTGGACCCACCTTGTCATCAGTAACGACCAATCTGCAGCTTACTTTTGACAAAATTCAGCAGGCTGAAAAATACGTCCATGGCTTGCATTATTTTTATTGAACTCTGCTCCCTTAACAACGATCACACTTTTACTTTAAGGTCAAGATGAAGCAAGTCGAGGTCTATAACTATCTAGGCACCTGGCTGGAAAGCCCTCTAACTTTCAAAACGCACATTGATAATATTAGAACAAATCAATGCAGACTTGTTTTTCCTAATCACAGCCGGTCTTGTCAGACGCTGCTCCAGGTGAACACTAGTCCCAATGTCTTGACTCCCCATCCTGAACTCCAGTGATGTTGCGTACAGGGTGGACTCTTGACACTGCTCTTGGGAATCGCTCTGGCACAGGGCTGACCGCTGGCGCCCCTCCCACACTCATCGGGGCGATCTGCATTCTTTGATTGGCCAGCCCACTCCACGCACCACACCTCGCTGCGCCAAATCAATTAACAGGTTTTAATCAGGATATCACCTTCCTCTTTTCATAATCCACTGCACTTAGCTTACAATTGAAGATGCAGAGCTTTTATCATCAGACTGCGCCTCCCAGGAGTGCTGATTTTAGGCACAAATCATTTCCGTTCGCCTCTGCCAGCGACTGGAACAATCCGCAGAGCGTGCTGGAGCTGTCCACCCTCGTATCTGAGGGCGTTCCGCCGCTGTGATTAAATCACTCCTGCCTGACACCCGGCCTCGTTAACACTGTCACGCCGTGTTCCGTTCTGTGTATTGACGGTTCTTTTCTCTCTTTCGGTTAGCCGGCTCTGCAGCAGTGGTGCGAACCTGCTGGCCAGGTCATCCTAGTAAACGAGAATCCGATCTGAACTCATCTGCTTCAACAAGGGAACAATATTAATGCTCTGGCACAGGTAGCTGTGGGTTTAACGGGATGGATTCAGAAGCTGTCAGAGGGATGGCTTCTTGAACGCACAGTGAAGTTCCAGGATATGATTACAATACAATTCTATTAAGGTGGAGGCCACAATCCTGCAGGTTCTTTCAATCAGCAGCTGGAGAGCTCTGAAAAGCATTAAACTGGGCCCTCAGCTCAATTAGATCACTGAGGACAGAGTGGACTGGGAAACCTGCGGACACTAAGGCCCAGGAGCTGCGCAGCTCTCAGTCCAGCTGACGAGACTTTATTCTAAAACGTTAGAGTGACAATTTCTAATGCCAGCTGTGCGATAGAGCAACGACCTTGAGGGCATGGAGGAGAGTGTGGACACCCGGCATGTGAGCCACTGTCGAATCCTGTCACCCCGTCAGCCTTCAGATGCAGAGCTGGCTTGTTCCAATCCTCTCCTATCTGAAGCAGAACACAAGTGAGGCGGATGGCTCTGGGGCGCTCAGCACTGCTGAGCCAGAGGCCCTGGAGCGGCCCCCTCCGGCCTGCGGACGAGCCCGGCCCGCGCCAGGACCATTGAAGTCGGGGTTACAGAAGATGCCTTGCCCCGGGTAACAAGCGTGCGCCCTCCTGCACTGCGAGCAAAGCGCTGCCAAGTCACCACGGCGCGCTTTCGGAGGACCGGCGGCGCACACGGGCCCAGCTCCGAGTCTGTCCAAGACAAAGCCTGAAAGAACAGACTTCAGGGACATCCCATAGACTCTCGTGCCATTTTTACCACTGCACATAGAATGCAAGTCGACCCAAAACAAAGAGTTCTGGCAAGTTTAGATTTAAAAGAAGGTGGCATTTGGTTTTTATACTGTATAGTCACACATGTCATAGGGATGTGCCTATGTAGTCTGTTTGTCTAGAGTTACTACGTTGACACTGACACAGAATTTGGGCGCATACTGGTAGTAATACACATGGCTCCCGCAAAACATATACTGTACACACATTCATAAATGTAGTTAAGAGTTCTGTATTCAATCTTAAAAACAGAACCAGTCGGAGGACTTGGCTGCTAGCTAAGCAGCTGATGACTGCTTCCAGGACTCAGCACGTGTGCCTCCCTGATCAAAACTGTTACTTGCTAGGTGTGAATCTGACTGAAGGGAAAAGCGCTGTAACTTTCATTTGGAAAGAGCGCAACGCTGTGTTTGAAACCGAGTGCTTTCGCAGCACAAACCGTGCAACAATGCTCAGCGGTGTTTTCTTTTGTTCTGACAAGGCTTTAGGAAACGGGGGGCCTTGGGAATCGCAGTCAGCGGCCCCAAGAACTAATCAGAGATAATAAAGAGAACAAACATAAAGGACTACATCTCCCAGGGTACAGCACTCGCTGCACTCCAGCTGTGCTCTGCAGTGCTTTCCCTGCAATAACCCGGTTCTCCAGCTGCTGGGCTGTCTAGATGTTAAACACTCGGAACACGACCGACCGCAGCCTCGTCTGTGAATGTCCTTGCCTCTGGGCGCCCTGAAGCCCGGGCCCAGCCAGAAGACAGCCTCACCTGCCCAGACGTAACCTGATGACACGTCCAATCACTGTCAGACCCCCCCCCC